GAACCCTTTCCCTACTTAGATGAGGTACCTAGAAGAGTCAAATTCATAGAGACAGAAAGTCGAACGGTGGTAATGAGGTACTGCGGTGGGGGGGGGGGGAGAATGGGGAATTCTTGTTTAATGGATAGAGTTTCAGGATGGGATGATGAAAAAGCTCTGGAAATGGTTGCACAACAACGTGAATGTACTTTTAAAATGGTTAAATAAGGTTAATTTTATGTTCTGGATATTTTATCACACAAAAAAAGTTTCCTTTAAACTTCTAAGAAAAGGGTGTCTGAGCTCCAACGCTGGCCCTGCAGTTCCCTGGATTCGCCCCGCCCACTGCAGCCTGTCTGATTCTGTCCCCACTGGCACCCATCTGAAACCTGCCTCCAGTGCACCGTGGTGCCAGTGCTTGCTGGCCCTTCTGACATGACTTCAAGTGGCTGGGAAGTCTGTAAAAGATGCTAGGTCCCTTTGGGGCCCATTAGGGAGACATCATCATTCCGGAATTTACCAAAAAGGCCACCTTCTGACTCACACTTCAGAAGGGGATGGATGACATTGGTTTTGTCCAATCAGGGATCAGCCTTGAGTGTCTGCTAACTATTGCTCACATTCAGCTTAGATGTCACCAACACCCAGGACAAAGGCTCAGGGACAGCACCATGGCTGAGCACCAACTATGTGCCAAGTGTCATGGCTGGAATCCTTACCATTGCCCCAGCAGGGCAATATTATTGGACCCATTTTCCTGACCAGTAAACTGGAGGCTCAGAGAGGATCTCACAGCCAGAAACGGGGCGGGGAGGGGGGTGGGGCCAGGTTAGAAGTTAGAGCTCTACTTGGCTCCAAATCCTGCTGTGGACCTTCCAGCATCATGACTAGCCTGGGGATAAACAGGCCCTGGGAGCTTGGTGGCAGTGCAGTCCTTTCTCAGGGATAAGAGCAGGCTGAAAGAGAGGGCAAAGTCCACTTTGCGAAGCCTATCAAAATAGAAGTCCCAGCTCCCTCCATACCCTGCAGGGGTTGGCCACCCAGAAGTCTGTTTGGTTGAACAGACTTCTGGCTGGAGGGACTTCTGAGATCTCCCACAGAATATAGCTCTCCTCCCATCTTTGCTTGTCTCCCCATCCACTGCTAGGGTCACCCTGACCCTCCCCAGAAAGTGAAGTCTTGAAAAGGGAGAAAGTGTGAAAGTGTGTGTGTCTGTGAGTATGCAGAGATGGGGGTGGGCAATCTTGAACGGAGGAGAAGCTGATGGCTCAGAACAGGGCTGAGAGGGGTGGGGCGGGCGGAAGTAGGGGTAGGGGCCTAGTGATACCAAGTGTGAGGAGCCCTGGAATGGGAATCAGAGTCCTGAGTTCGAATACTACCTCAGCCTCCACCATGCAACCTGGGGTAGGTCCCTTCCCCTCTCTGTGCCTCTGTCACCTTACCTGTACAAGGGTGGGGTTGGAGTTCATGACTGCTAAAGGTTCATCCACCGATTACACCAATATTAACTGAGCCTTTGCTCCAGCCACCAGCCACGCTGTGGGAACACGGGAGACAGACCCGTCTCTTGCCCTCTTGGAGTTGAGTCTAGTAGGGAAGACAGGCACTGATGAGCAGTCACAAACACACTGTGTGCTGTGCGGGAGAAAACTGGGGGCTACAGAGATCCAACCCTGCCTTGAGGATCGGGCACAAAGAACAAAGAATCAGCTCAGAAAACAACCTGCTTTCTGCCTAGTTTTGCCTTGGAACCCCAAGGGGCTCCCCCAAGTGCTCCAGGTGCCATCGCCTGTGGTCAGTACATCAGGGCACAGGGATGCCAGACGGGGACTCCCTGCTTTCCTGATGGGCCTGGGATAGGCAAAAACTGTCATTCTCTGAATCCAAAACTTCTTAGAGCCAACCAGAAAGGACTGAGAAGGGCCTAGGGCAGGAGACCTCAGGCAGGGCTCTTCCTGAGGTCCCTCCAGGAGGGAAAAGCAGAACTGATGTGATGTGAGCAGCGAAGAAGCGGGTCCTGCTGGCACTGTGGGTCTCAGCCTTGGCTGCATGCTGGAAAAACTCCGGATGCCTGAGTCTAACCCCTAGATCCAGCTGTCATTGGCCTGGGGCGCGGCCTGGGCAGACGATTCTATGTATTGAGAACCAGGGACCTGGCAGAAGGCTGGGTCTGCTCAGAGGCCAAGGAGGGTGATTCATGGAGGCCAAATAGGTCAGAGGGCGGCCAACTCTGTCCAAGGAACAAATAGGCTATGTTCCAGACAGCATGGGGACTTGGGTCCCCAGAAAGGCCTGCTTGGTAGTGAAGCAGGGATTAATCACCCCCACCCCTGCCCTCTGCAGTCCTGCCGCCACCTAGGATTGCCAGGTGAAACATAGGATGCCCAGTTAAATTTAAATTTCAAATTTAAATTTAGTTGGGCATTCTGTTGTTTTTCTTTCTTTCTTTTCTTTTTCTTCTTTGTTTCTGCTAAATCTGGCAACCCCACCCCACCCCACCTCTGAGCTGGGAGTCAAGAGCCCCAGTTTCGGGGCCCAGCTCGGATTCTACCATGCCCCTCCCCAAGCCTCGGTCTCCTTGAGAGTCGTATATAATATCCCTCCCAGCTCAGGGGCCAGGCTGACTGTTTCCAGGGCAGTGAGTGTGACTCACAGGTCCCTGGAAAGGCATTGAGCTGTCTATGAAGGGAGGCAGGGCCTTTCTCTCTAAGACATCAGCATTTCCTTCCTGCAGTTTGATCCAAATGAAGGGTTTTCAAGAGCCTTCTCGCCCTGGGGATGCTGATGAAATGAGACAAGCTGAGAGCAGAACCTGGGTCGCGGTGATCTCCAGGGGGTGTGATTCTCTCTCGCCTCCTGTTGTCTTCCTTCCTCTTCCCTCCTCCTCCCCTCACTCGCTGACATCCTCCTGCATCCAGATGCCAACTCTCCTTCCTTACCAAGCAGAAAGAATTTGCTCAGCATTGAGCAGGTAGCTGTTGTGGGCCTACTATGTGCCAGGCACAGGCGCTAAGCACTGAAGATAAAATGGTGACCCAGTCCCTGTCCACACGGAGCTTCTAGTCTGGGGATGGGGTGGGGCTTGGGCAAACCCAACCGCTTAAATGAATACGTCATGGCAAACCTTGACAAGTGTCCTGGAGGGAAAGAATAGAGTGCTTGGAGAGCGCACCAGTAACAGGGAACCTGACCTTCCTTGAGGAAGTACCCTGGGAACTGATATTTACAGAGTGGAGGAGGGGGAGGGCTATCTCAGCAGAGGGAACAGTACAGGCAAAGGACATCTCTGAGGAAGAGCATGACTGGTGTGGCGGCCGCGCGGCTGGAGGATAGATGGCAGAGCCAAGAGAGGCCCGAGAGGGGGATGGAGACGTTGGCACAGCCAGACATGCTGGGTGGTAGAGCCCATGAGCGGAATCTGAGTCTAAAGCCTGTCCTATGGCCCAGTAATTTCTCTCCTATATATCTACTTGTATTAGTTTCCTATTGCTGCTATAACAAATCGCCACAAACTTGGTAGCTTCAAACAAAACCAACCTATCTTATAGTTCTGAAAATCAAAAGTCCAAAATGGGTCTCTTTGGGCTAAAATCAAGGTGCCAGTAAGCCTGTGTTCCTTCTGGAGGCTCTAAGGGGTGACCTGTTTCCTTGTCTTTTCCAACTCCTAGAGGCCGCCCCCATTCCTCAGCTCATCTTCAAAGCCAGCAACCACAGGCCGGGTCTTTCTCACGTCGCCATCTCTCTGGTTCTCTCACTCGGCTTCTCTCTTCTACTTATAAGGACCCTTGCGATTACATTGCACGCACCCAGATGATCCAGAACAATCTCCCCATCTCAAGGTCAGCTGCTTAGCAACCTTAATTTCATCTGCCACCTTAATTCCCCTTTGCCATGTAATCTAACATATTCACAGGTTCTAGGGATTAGGACATGATGCCACTGGTGGACCGTTATTCTGCCTACCACACAACCCAAGATTTGTACAAGAATGTTCATAGCAACCTTATTCATTACAGCCCCAAACTGGGAAAAGCCACAGATCCATCAATAGCAGACTAGACAAACAAATCATAGTATATTCCTTTAATGAAATGTTACATAGCAATAAAAAAGAATGAATTAATGATACGCACAATAACATGGCTGAATCTTATAGACATAATGTCGAGCAAAAGAAGCTAGACACAGAAGTGTACATACTATATGATCCCATTTGTAGGAAGTTCAGGAACAAACAAAACTAATCAATGCCAGAGAAGTACAAGTGATGATCACTCCTGGGGGGTGGGTATTGGCTGCGAAGGGTACAAAGAACTGGAAATGTTCTGTATCTTCATCTGGGTGTGGTCACAGGGATAGCCATGTGTAGAAATTCATCAAGCTGTACACTTCACTGTGTATCTAAAAAAAACCTGTGTCTGTATTTTAAGAGTGATAAGAAACTAACAAGGTTTTAAGCAGTGACATGACATAATCTGATGCTCATTTACAAAAGGTCACTCTATCTGCTGGGTGGAAAATAGATGAGAAGTGGGAGCAGTTAGGAGGCTGTTGCAGTTGCCCTGAAGAGACACAAAGGTGCCCTGGACTTGGGTGGTACTGGCGGAAATGGACAGAAGTGGGTAGTTTCAAAAATATTTAGGAGGAAGAATCAAGAGGCTATGATTTAGGACAGGATGGATGGATGGGTGGNATCTTAGCTGTAGAGGGCAGTGTCACTGGCCCTCATATGTGGGATCCGAACCGGGGCCCTCTGGCGTTCCAAGCCAGCTCTTAACCATCGCGCCACTCAGCCAGCCCCTCAGTTTATTTTTTAACATGGGTAATATACCCCAAAGAATTGAAAGCAGGGACTTGTGTAGATATTTGTGCATCCTTCTTCTCCTTCTTCTCCTTCTTCTTCTTCTTCCTGTCCCTCTTCCTCTTCTTCTTTCCCCCGCTCTTCCTCCTTTTTCTTATCATCATCATCATCATCATCATCATCACCAAAGATAGAAAAAACCAAATGCCCACTGATGGGTGAAATGTGGTTTTACATACAATGGAATAGTATTCAGCCTTAAAAAGGAATGAAATTCGGACACATGCAAAAACATGAATGACCTTGAAGACATTATGCTAAGTGAAACAAGCCAGACACAAAAGGACAAATATTGTATGATTCCACAGTGGGGGATGTAGAAAATTTCCTCTACCCTTCTAGGTTCTTACAGCCGGTCTAATAGTTAAACCCACATGAGACAGACTAATAAGAGAAAATAACCAAATTTAATTACATATGTACATATGGGAACCCCACCAGAGACCCCCACCTACACGAGAAGTTCCTAGACAGAAAGCGAAGAGCGGGTATTTATGGCATTTTGAGCTAAGGATGAGGTAAGGTGCCTGGGACCTCATGGGGGAGAAGGTGATTGCAGGGTGATAAGAAGAGCAGATGTTCAGTAATTAGAAGTTTGCCCTGCCTTATAGAGAGCTCATAAAAAGTTATTTCTGGGGCCGGCTGAGTGGCTCAGCTGGTTAAGAGCTCGCTTGGGAGTGCCAGCTCTGAGCATCAGGGCCGCGGTTCGGATCCCACATTGAGGGCCAGTGACGCTGCGCCCTCTACAGCTAAGATGATGAACAACAGCTCAACCTGGAGCTGGGCTGCTGTGAGTCGCTGGCAACGGCATAGGCTGCAGCCTCTGCTGCAATGGGCTGCCATGAGCTACCATGAGTGGCTGGCAGCCAGCGAGAGCATCTGGCAGCCAGTGTGAGCTGCCAAGAGACGCAGTGAGCGGCCGTCCAGAGACCGGCAACCGATCTGCCTCAGCCGGGAAAAGCACAATGATATACCAACATGGGCCAGTGAAGCGATGTCCGCCACAACTAGACTGAAGAACAAAACGACAGCAACTTGTCTGTTCCCCTTCCCCCAATTCCCTAGCACTGTTCCCCTCCCCCAATTCCCCAATAAAAT